GGCTGCAGCGGGCACAGCAGGCCGGGCGCTCGCCAGGCTCCGCCTTGCCCAGGAACCCCAGTGCTCCCGAGGGCCCGGGCCGGCGGGCTTCGCATCTGCTGTCTCAGCGGGTGCCCAGGGGCCTCCCAGGCGGTGAGGCCGTCAGGGCGCGATGGTCAGTGTGCGGGTCGTGGGCTTCCGGCCGTGCGGCCAGGCTGCGGCTCCCACCCACTGAGCGGGCGCTGCAGGCAGTGGCGCGGGGCGTGGGTGAGGGCTCGGCCCGTCCAGTCCCTGCCGGCTGCGCACGGGGCCCAGAGTGCCTGAAGGGCAGCCGGTCCACCGGAGAGGGGCTCGAGGCCTCCCTGGACCCCGCTGAGGGTCCCGAGAGCCTGGCCCCGCTCCCCCCTGCTCAGCCAGCACAGAGGGTGTCCCCCCCATGACGCAGCCCCACGGGGTGGGCGCCTTGGGCCCCAGAACATCCCTCTCCCTCAGCTGCCCGCACCTCGGGGAGGCCTGGGGTCAGCCAGCCGCACCACCCCGCTCCCCGGCCCCAGCCGGCTGCCCTGCCGCTGGCCTTCTGCCCACACCGGGGCAGCCTGGCCCGCGGAAGCAGCCCATGGGAGGCAAAGGTGTCTCCCACGCCCTTGCCACTGGTCCACGTCCACGGCTGGGCCCCTCCTGGCCGGGCCCTGCGGCACGCCCTGGGGCAGGCGAGGTGGCCAGGGCAGGCTCCTTCGCCCAGCCCCCACCCCGGGGGGGCTTCACTCCAGGTCCCGACCCCGGGGCCGGCCGGAGCGGAGGGGTCACGGGCCATGCGCGGGGCTCGGGGGCTCTGTGCCTGCACCTGGCTCACGGCCCGCGCAGGCCCCTGCTGTCCGCAGAGCAGCACCGTCCCCCACTTATTTTGTGCCTCCTGTCCACACTGGCCTTGGCCTGGCACTCCCCCTGGGGGGGGGGGACCCAGGGCCTGGGAGGGATGGGGCCTCTTCCCTGGGACAGCGACCCCCAGCCCCCGACAGCCAGTGGGCAGCCCCGGTGCAGCCCCTCCAGGTAGGGCCCCAGCGCAGCTGTGCAGAGGCCAGGGAGCGTGAGGGGGGGTCCCCTGGGCGGTCCAGGGCAGGGGCTGGGGGGTAGGCGAGGCGGGGAGGGGCCGAGCCCGGGAAGGAGCGCAGGCTTGGGGGTCACCCGGCAGGCTAGAGGGGTCGGCTGGGGCCCCACAGGGTGGCGCTGGCCGGGGAGGTCAGGGGCGGGCCTCGGCG